GAAAGCAGTTAAATAACTGCTACCGCCTGAACATTTACATCCTAACAAATCTAATGAAACCTAATCGTCTAAAGATGAGCCCTGTGGCAGGTGATTAGAACATGAAGAAAGAATTCATGAAAGGATTAGTGTCTTTATAAAAGAGGCCATATGTATGTATATTTTCATATGTATATATACTAGCATAGTAAAGTAAAGTAAAGGCCCTCCCGTTGATCATCGATTTGCTCCAGCGGGCCCAGTAACGTCTCCATTGGAGACTTTGTTGTTACTGTGTCTGGCATATCGAATACTCTCGGTAGCTTGCCGGGCTCTCCGAGAGGGGTGGAGGAATCGAACTCAGGTCGGCCATGTTGACTGCGTGCAAGGCAAAAGCCCTACCGCTGTGCTATCGCCCCTGTATATGAAACTATAAAAATAGTAGACAGTTCTCTATGCCACATTGTAAAGCAAGTAAGTGAAACACAAAAATGTATGCATTTCCTAAATAATAAAGAAAAATGCATTTATGTTGAAGTACAGAACAGAATCAAGAGCGTTCTTAAGCTTTGTTGTGTATCAAATTTGCATCTGAATGCTAGTTCCAACACTTGTTAGCTGGCATTCTGTATTTAGCAGTCTATATTGAGCATGCTACTAACCTTTCTCAGTTTCAATTTCTGAAATCTAAAGTGGCAGATATTAATACTTCCATTTCACATGTTGTGAAAAAATTAGGTAATGCATGTAAATGGATTTGTATAATACATGCCACTATAAATGCTAAATAAGGTAATTATTTTTATGGACCTACCTTCATCTTATGAAAATGAATACATCAGTACTACTTAATAATCAGAAAAACATTTGATGAATTTGTTCCTCTAGGTTTGCATGATACATTACTTTGGTATCTAACTAATAACATAAAAAGCCTTATGAAATATATGTAATAATAGAATAATTTGAGAATGATTTGAGATATTATATATATGGGCATTATATAATTTGCCTTACTCTACAATATTCCAGAACATTAAAAATAATGAAGTAGAAAAGAAATAATGAGTTTTCCTGTGTATGTGAAAGGATATATCTCAATAACTTTAAAGGGTTGGAATGTGTCCTGGCATGCATGAAACCCTTAGTTGAATCACTGGCACTGCAGAGCACCCGCTACCAGCACCGCCAGGTGTAGGTACTGTCTGGTGGCCCCTGAGTAATGCTGGATGTGACCCTAATGGACTCTTGCAGTATTGGGCCCAAGCACACAAACCGTCAGGTCGCACACATTGACAGCATTCATGAAAGAGTTCCCCAGACCCCCTGAACATCACTAGGGAGCATACCTGCCAAGAAGTTTTGTTTTCATAGGCTGGAGAGACAAGACAGGTTAAGGAGCCTGCTCTGGATGCGGTGGACCTAGATTCTGTCCCCAGCATCCCATACAGTTCCTTGAGCCCACTGGTGGTAGTTTCTGAGTGCAAAAGCAATAAGTAACCCCTAAGTACTGCCAGTCATCCCAAAACTAAAGGAGAGAAAAAGAGAAAGACCAAAAAAAGTTTGTTTGATGTCTTTCCCAGTATTTTCTATCTGGGGATTTGCCTTTATCTCAGTCTGGGATATATACTCTCAACTTTTCTGTTCTGAAGAAGTCTGTATTGATTCTCCTTCCCTCTCTCCCAATTCCTCACCAATTCTTCAACTGTCTTTCTATCTCTCAGACACTTACCAACAATATTGAGACAATCGCATAAAGTTATTGACATATTTTAATTTTATCAAAGACTTTTCTGATAAAATTAAAACGTCAACAAGCATCCTTATTGGATGTTTTTCTACCTTAGGACAGTTGACAAAGGCAATAATGCTATTATTATTGTCCTCTTCTGCTAAGAAAACCAAGTATTTTTTATACTTCTGCTGGCTCTTCCTTAAAATGTTGTCCTAAGGTAGGAACATATAATTATTTTTCCCATCACTTTTATTAACAAGCTAATGAATAGGATAGTAGCACTGTAGCACTCTCCTCCCACTGTTCATCGATTTGCTCAAGCGGGCACCAGAAACGCCTCACAACAAATTGTGAGACTTGTTGTTAGTGTGTTTGGTACATTGAATACGTCATGGGGAGCTTGCCAGGCTTTGCCATGTGGGCAGGATACTCTCGGTATCTTGCCGGGCTCTCCAAGAGGGGCGGAGGAATCGAACCTGGGTTGGCTGTGTGCAAACGCCTGAATTTCATTATAGCAATAGACTATGTTTTTAAATTAATGAACATTATAAAAATATTTCCATAAAAATGTTTAGGGTAAAAATTAGATCTTTAATTTACCTATTTTTATCATCTCTGTAAGGCCAGTTTCAATAAACAAAGTTTAATAAAAAAATCCTTCAAAATTATTGCCAAGACTGAGAAAAACAAATGAATGGAAAATTGCTCCATATTTATATGCAAATAAAATCTGGCCATCCATTGTAACTATAAGTAGGACGTCTCATGATATGACAAAGGATAATTTATGCAAATTTCTTCATTTTAATTTGTTGCCAAGCTACTCTAAAAATTATTCCAGAACAAATTCAAACTACTATGATTTGGATAAAACTAGACCACTTTTTTCTGTGATGTTTCAAATGGAAGTAGTCTAAGAAGCTAAACTGAATTCATGGTGGACTACTTCTATAAAGACAGTGGAGAAATCAGCTAAGCATATTTTCTAAAATTATTTCCATCAAGCTACATTTAAAATACTAAAGCCAAGATTTTCCCTTAGCATAAATATATACTTGTCCTTAACTTTAAACATTAAAAAAACTAAGATAATAACTCACATATACAGCTATTATTTTTCTGTTGCTGTTTTGTAGTGATAAGGATTAAACCAGCCTCACACACATAGAAGTGCAGAGCCACATCCCTAGACCAATAGTTATTGTTTTAAACACATGCAAAACATCTGTTTCAAACAGAATAGAGAGAAAAACTTTTGAATTCTAGCAAGTTTTCTTAACCGTTTTCCATTAGGGACTTGTCCTGCCTGAGAAAATTTTATATAAACTTGGTATATAAAATATGTATGCATGTCAATCATTTGTTGATACTATACCATAATTTATTTTTTAAACAAAACTTTCATACAACATTCCCACACCTCGCACCCGGACAGTTCAAGGGACTAGGATCTAAAGTTAGAAATTTTAAGAGATCAACATTTCTCTATTTAAATTTAAGCATTTTACTTCCTCCAATCATTTATAACAATTCAGTCAAATTCATAATAATTCACTGTCTGAACGACACCTGAAGTGAACACAGAAAGTGGAAATTTGATGAATAATAATTAAGACTACACAGTGACACATGTACTTTCGGGGAGGTGATGGCAAGTGTGTACCACACTCAGCAGTGCTGAGGGATCACATCTGGCTCTGCGCTCAGGAGAGCAGGAGATCAGATGTGGTGCTGGGGATCGAACCAAGATTGGCTGCATGCAAGGCAAGTGTTTTAACCTCTGTAGTAGCTCTCCAGCCCAGCTCACGTAGTTTTAAAAAGTCTTATAAAATGTATCTACATGCAGAAAGATAAAAAAAATGGTAGGAGAGCTCTTTCTTTCCCTCCTAATTTATTTTTATTTTTTCTTTCCATATTTTATTTAGGCACTGTGATTTACAATACTGTTAATAATCAAGTCATACATACTCCATTTTCACACCCATCGCTAGAGTCAGCTTCCCCCTTACCATGTTCCAAGATTCCCTCCCAGTTACCTCACAGTACTACCACCAAAGTGTTCAAGATCCTTGACCAATGTCAATCCACATCCTCTCCCCTCCTACCCCTTACTTAGCATTTTTTATTCTGTAATCCAGGGCTAAGTGCTTGCCAAAATCTGATACCTTCCATTTCTTTGTCTTGTTTCCCTGTATGACACAGATGAATGAAATCATATGGTATTTGTCCCTCTGCCTATTAATTACTTTGCTTATCACAACACACTCCAGTTCCATCCAAGTTACAGCAAACTGCACGAGTTCAACAATTTTTTAGGGCTGCATAGTATTCCATTGTATATCACACCTTCTTTATTCATTCATCTGTCTTTGGATATTTGGGTTGATTTTGATACCAGGGTCACGTTCTACTAAGTGAGGCAGTGAACATGGGTGTGTGTATCTTTTTAAATTAATGTGGTTTCTTTTTTTTCAATTTGTGGGGTAGACAGTAAGAGGAGTCACTGTCATATAAAAGCCCTATAAAAATTTATATTTTTGAAATACATTGTTTTTTTATAGGGACTGAACCAGACAACATTCCACCTACAGTGAATGAAGGTCAACCTGTGATGATTGATTGCTATATTGTTTTAACCTATGTAAATAAATGCGAATCATTTAATAGAAATGGCAATCTATGCCATTTCTGATTTTTAATCACATTCCCACCAACACCAGTTGTTTCCAGAATTTTTGATACATGCAATTCTCACTGGTGTAAGATGATACCTCATTATAATTTTGACTTGTATTTTCCTAATAATAAGTGGCAATGAACAATTTTGCATATACCTATAGGTAAATTGCATATAGCTAAATATTAAATGACAATTTTCTCATACCCAGAGGGACACATATGTCCTTTGTGGAAGCATCTGTTTATGTCGTCTCTTCATTTTTTGATGGAGTTATGAGGTTTTTTTGGTGTTGCCATGCTTATTAGTGCTTTATATATTTTGGATATTAGCTCTCCACCGATGTATTGTGTGTAAATATTTTCTATCATTTGTAGTTAAATTAGAGTTATTTTTTGTCACGTCAAACTTTTTTAATTTGTATAGGAGGGTGTTTTTTACACAGATTTAGCTATTTTTCCTGGTTTCAATTCATCAAAACAGCCCAAAATTTCACTCATGTAAAAAATGCCACTAAAATAATAGTCAACTCAGTGTTTATAATCAAATATTTCACAGTAATTTTAAAGAGAATCATGAACATCATACAGGTAACGACTTATCACTTACGAGCTGCTCTGATTTTACACCATACAACTGGATGGTCTTTGCCACATTTTTTGACACAGCTAATGTGAGACTTGCATCAACAGCAGCTACATTCAGTTCACTAGAGAAAACAAAAACAGACTTTAATGATTTAGCAACACAGTTGATCAAAAAAGTAAGGAGTTACAGATAAACCTAAACCCAGTAAGCAAGAGATGATTCCTTTTATAGATTTTAATGATTGCTTCCAAGAATTGGTTGCACTATTTCATTTTCCCTCCTAAATTTAGTATTAGGAAAAAGTGCTTTAAGATGGTTTGGTTAATGACCAGTTTCTCATTAATAAAAGCACATCATGTGTGGCTTCAAGCTGTGATTAAAAGAGTAAATTGTGTTCAGATTTTTAAAGTAGCATTCTTGTTAATACTGATAAGTGCAATTAGAGAAACTGCATATCACAGACATCTGCAAGGAAATGACAGCTCTTGAATGGAAGTGATGACCTTGGAAGGACAAAGGCTAAAAATATGAACTACACATGATACATAGGCTACTCAGTTTCTATAGAGATTATGGCAATTTATGCCATTTCCGATCGAGTAGATTTTTAGATATATTAAAAGAATAACCAGTCCATAATTTAAAATTTTTGATTCATGACAAAATATTTCTTTGCCATGTTTATTTTCAGTTTTAACACTGAATCAGCTGGAACATATGGGTTGACACTCCTCAAAAATTTATAAAAACCAAATTTACTTTATTTTTAAAATTTATTTTTATTGAAACTCTGTGATTTACAAACTTGTTCTGAATACAGTGGTTTCAGGCCTACAATGTTCTAACACCAATCCCACCACCAATATCCCCAGTTTCGCCTCTGTCCCAGCCTGCCCATTTAGCAGACATATAACAAATTTACTTCATATTTCTTGCTCCAACGAGTTTAAAGGACTGGCAAATGGAATTATCAGAAAATAAATCAATAAAAGTCAACCTGTGATGATTGATTGCTATATTGTTTTAACCTATGTAAATAAATGCGAATCATTTAATAAACATAATATGCATATTCTTATATACATAAATGAGCTCCCAACTCTGACATCTAAAATATAAAGCATCACATTTTATTTTGTACTTGGCTCTCATTGTGGTAATAATCATGTCTTCCTTGTCATTAATAAAGCTTTTTTAACATTCTATGCTACTATAATTTGGAGTTTACAAGAAATAGGTAAAACCAACAAACATAAAATTTAGTATGAGTGAAGAGAATTAAGAAAATTTAAAGGGGAAAACATGAAAAGATCTTTAAAAACTCAAAGACTTTTATTCTAATAAAGAGAATATTGAAAAAGAAATGAAAATGAAAATTTATAAAGACCAAGGAAGGTTAAGGAGATACTCAGTGGTGCATGCCTTGCATCTTCCTGGATATAAGTTTGATCTCTAGAACCACATGCTTCTCTACCCGCTCACCAAACACCACTGGATATAGCCCTGAGAACCCTTAGCACCATCCAGGCTGCATCGGTAGCCCTTATCCCAGGAATAAAGGAGTGCTGCCCTAAGTACTCTAGGAACCATCATGGTTTGGCCATGTATCACTGGCAGTGGACCTCCAGGTTATTTTAGAACTTCTTAGGAGGCTCCTCCCTCCTCCACCAAAATAAAAACATACTATGGAAAGATTCCTAGGAGTTTAAAACGGCATGGGACTGGAGAGATGGCTCACCAGGGTGTAATGTCTGTTCTGAATCCTGGAGAGCTGAGTTCAATTCCCTGATCCCCTGAGCACTGTTAGGAGTGATCTCTGAGCACCAAGCTAAAAAGAAGCCCTTGATCACCCCTAGGCATGGCCTCAAACCCCAAAACTGACAATGCATGGAAACCTATTTATAGCTAGGTGGCAAGCAAAATAGTTATTGTCTCTGAAGTAATGAAATAAATCTTGGCAGTAAGCAGATTCTCTTCCAAAAGAAAATGTAGGCATTTAAAGGGCCAGAGAGACAGCACAGTGGGTGGGGAGCTTGCTCTGGATGTGGCTGACCTCAGTGGATCCCTACCAACACAGCCCAAAGTCACTGCTGAGCACAAAGGCAGGAGTAAGACCCGCAGGTATGGGCCCACCTCCCCGAAAAATGGAAGGAAGAAAAGAAGCTTTTCAAAACACTAGTATATGCTATGTGTGACAGAAATAACATTTGTATTATAGTGACATAATTTTATTAAGGTTCATTTTGAAATTCTATAAAACAATGATTTAAGTGTGCTTTGTTTTCCAGCTTATATCTGACTGCATTGCCAAGTCGCATAGAAGAATGGGAGTGATGCCTCTTTAATATTTCTTTTATGTACTCAAAGTTTAACTGCTCAAAGAGATCAAGCTGAATCAAACTGACGGCTTTTGTCACTACTCTATAAGTCATGACTATAGTAATGTCACTACTTGTAAAATCTTATCACGCCGAAGGTTGTATGTTCATGGGCTCACTGGACGGCACTGTTTCACCGCCTGCGTTCAGTGCTCTTGAGCCACTGTGTGTGGCCTGGATCGGAACGGCTGTTGGCCAAGGGCAGACGGAAGAAAAAACGGGGGCCAGGCCGGTCTATATCAATAGTAGTTTATTCCAATCCTCTTCACTCCTGTCTTTCTCTGCCTCCTTCTCTCCTGGGCCCCAGTCTTGGAAGCTCTCTCCTTCTGGCTCTGACTCTGGATCTCTGGACCCGAGCTCTCTCACTTCTGACCCCTTTTCCGAGCTTACGTCTTAGTTTATATAGCAATCACATAAGGCGGCGACATAAAGGTGGGTTGAATACTGACGAATCAACAAAGAGAGGTAAGACCACTCCTCCAGGAGATTAACTCAAGGATAAAATCTCATCTACAGAGATTACTTCAGATTACTAGGAGATCCACCCAAGGGTGGGATCCCAACAAGGGTGTGTTCTTCCTTCAGTTAGTAAAGGTAAAGGTAAAGGTAAAGGCCCTCCTGTTAATCGTCGATTTGCTCGAGCGGGCCCAGTAATGTCTCCATTGGAGACTTTGTTGTTACTGTATCTGGCATATCGAATACTCTCGGTAGCTTGCCGGGCTCTCCGAGAGGGGCGGAGGAATCGAACTCGGGTCGGCCATGTTGGCCGCTTGTAGGGCGTTTGCCTTACAAGCGGCCAACATGGCCGACCCGAGTTCGATTCCTCCGCCCCTCTCGGAGAGCCCGGCAAGTTACCGAGAGTATCTCGCCTGCAAGGCAGAGCCTGGCAAGCTCCCCGTGACGTATTCGATATGCCAAACACAGTAACAACAAAGTCTCCAATGGAGACGTTACTGGGCCCGCTCGATCTAATTGAGTAGTCACCTTCAGTTAGTAATCTACTTAAATAGTTGTAATAAATCTACTTCTAATATTTCTAGCAATGTCATTCTGTATGAGCACAGTAAGAGATATAAATTTAGTTTGGTTCTTCCTGAGAACATCTCACTATACATTTCGCAGTCCTCAGGCCAGGTTAATCTTCCTAGCTCCTGCAGGGTCCTAGTCTTGTCGTTACTTACTTTTGGATCATGACAGCATTTGTCCATGATCATGCCCTCAACTTATAGTTGAGTATCGTGGCTCTTTGGCCTGGCCCATTTCGATGCCAGGGTAGCTCACTGCTTGCCCTGGGTCCATTCAGTCCCTCGTCGGGACCCTGCTTTTGGGGTGCTAGGAACTAAGGGCAACTGAGTCAAGAAATCAGATGCCCAGGAGTAAATATTATTCAGAGTCAATCAACTCCCAAGTTACAAAGCATAATATTAATTGTCTTCCTGTGTCCACACAGAAAGGACATTGCTTACAATACAAGTTCAGTGTTCTTAGATGGGTGTGACCTGACAAACCTAAGCTACCTGAGGAAGGACAAAAGAGTGTTATCCTACAACTACTATAGTAAGAGCGACATCACAGTAAAAAAAAATCTAGTAAATCTAGTAGTAGTCTTGAAAAGTCAAGATAACTGTGGAGAGATATAGGATTAAGATGTTGGACAATTCAGACACTGTATAGGTATGCTTTCAGTTGAAAATACGCTTGTGTGTATTGTTTTTGTTTCCTTGGTCGTACTCCCACATACTTCAGAATTACCATCTATCTTCAAATTTTTAGTCTAAAAGAATCTAGAGAGTTCTATTCTATGATCCTGTACTACTATTTTTACTGCATAAAATGTTCATCTATAAATGTTCAAACCTACTATTGTGACAATTAGCTACGATAGGAGTCAAACAGTCTCAACTTCAAATTAATCTGGTAACCACTGAAAAAGATCTCAAGGCAACAGCATAATTATATTGCCTACAAGCTCTCAGGTGGCACCCCTACTAGGATACCTTCTCTTCTGAGACTTATAAGAGCTGTCACATTTACTCAGAAAGCTTGAAAGAGCAAATACAAGTAAGGTAATGAGGATTCTAATAAAGTACATATTACGAAGTACTTTTGGATTTAAGATAAAAAACATTAAGCCTGATCCTTCAGCTCTTCATTTGTCAAATTATTCTTATACTCACTTTTCTATGTAATATCAGAAATTTACGAGGACATAAAAAATTAGGTTTACTTTGCATCCTTGACAAGAATAATTATAATGAACTATTTTTAGTCTGTATTTCAATCGTTTTATTAATTGGAATCTCAAGTACTTACTCGATGTGCACTCATTCACTGCAAAACTTGATTTAATTGCAAAACTCATTACAGGAATAATTAGAGATAAATTAAAAATGCACTGCTATCATACATCACCAACAAATATGGAAAGCATTTTATAGAACACTATTCTATAAAAATCCATACCTTGCTATCGTTTTAATGATCCCATCAAGTTCGTCTGCAGAAGGAGGATTACGACCACCAGGAGGGAAAACCAAGTTGATAGGATCAAAGAGTCTCGACAAGGATTTTGATAAGTAAGCTGCTTCATAAGGTTGCAGAGAGTCTTTCAAAGCCTTTTCTGGACTGTGGAACAAAATGTATCAAATATTAAACTATGTAAAACTAAATGCTATTGGATAAAATTATAGATACCTTTCTTAAAAACAGCTGCTTTATAAAATGACTCTGAATACAGATAATATTTCTATATTTATAAATGTATTTCATAAATGTTTCTTAAGGACTACATAAATATTTTATTTTGCTTTTGGGCCACACCTGGTAGTGCTTGGTGCTTACTCCTGGCTCTGTGCTCAAGGATTACTCCTGGTAGGGTCAGAGGAACACGGCCATACAGGGTGCCAGAGATCGAACCCGAATCCACTGAAAGCAAGGCAAATGCCCTACCTGATGCATTATCACTCTGGCTCCTAAACATTTTAATTTGTACCTAAGGTCTATGCATCAGTGCAATATGAACCAATACTGAGTACCATACTTTAAAGCAAAAGAACAGGGAAATCCTATTAATTTGAATGGAGATAAGCCCTTACATCACAAGTCTTATTTTAAAATAACAGCAGAGTACGTATTGAGATAAGTCTGCAGAGACTGCTATCATTAATTCAACCCTTTTCACACAGCTGCTATCTCCATAAGGCCCACTGTCTGTGAGGGAAGTATACAAGTCTAAGGTTCACCAGCCCTAACAAGAATGAGGACAAAATAACAAGCATTTGTCAAAGTTCTACAGTGATGGAATATTATCCAATTGCAGTTCTAAACTAATTTGTTTCACAATGTTTATCACAGTTAATGCTTATTAGCCCATTAAATAGCTCTTCCTCCTTTCTCTTTCCACACCTGCTTTTTATTTATCAATACAATTAATAGGTTTTACATTATCTCTTTGACAATTACTATCAGTTTACAGCCATTACTGTCATTCTCTCTCTCCCTATCTCTCTCTCTGTCTCTCTCTCTCTCTTTCTCTCTCTATCTCTTTCCCTTCCCTTCCCTCTCCCTCCCACCCTGTATCTTACTGTAACATGCCTGGCAGTAGTTGGAGCTTATTCTACCTCTGATGTCCAAAGATCATTCCTGGTAGGGCCCTGGGGACCATATGAGGTGCCAGAGATTGAACCAAGGTTAGCTGCATGCAAGGCAAGCACCTAACCTGCTGCACTATCTCTCTAGTCCTGCTCACTTATTCCTATAATAAATCCATGTCTTCTCAAATCACCCACTTATGATCCTTCCAACAGTGTTTTTACTGTTTTTAAAAATAAAAACAAAAACACAAACATAAATCATTCTTCATTATAAATGGCAACCTTGATGACATCTGATCTACTTCATTCACAGGAAAGCTGGGCTTCTCCTAGTAAGAAACAGATTAAAAGTGCTATACAGTCTGATGGAAGTGTATATTTCACATGCTAACTGAAGCACTTTCTTTTGGTTTGTTTTGGTTTGGTTTGGGGTGGGGGGCCCACACCCAACAGTGCTTGGGGGTTACTCCTGGGTTTGCACTTGGGGATCATCCTGGCGGGCTCAGGGGACCATACGAATACTGGGGATCAAATTCTTGATGACCATGCACAAAGCAAGTGCTCTGCTGGGCTTTACTCTTCCTCTGGCCCTCTCATGCAACTTCTTAATAGAATAGGCTCAGCGACAACAGGGACAAATACAACTAGTATCAAACAATCCTTTACTGAAATCTAAACCATGTGATTATCTTCTCTGTATTTGCTCCTGTCACTTACCCATTTCAATGAAAATCTCCACTCTACAGGAAATTCAACACTCAATTGTAAATACTAATACTCATTCTGTTCTCCAAATGTGCTGCAAGGATTGTTAGGACTACCATATCAAAACAGGTAACCTTTCTAGAACCTGTCCTCTATTACAAACTTTTACCTCTATGTTTCCTTTTAATTTAGCTTTACTAAAGAGTTTCCTTATTTGCATCATCATTTTGAACTGCTACGCCTCTAATATTGATTTCCATGATTGAAATAACTTTCCATACACCCTCTTTTCTTCTAGCTCAATTTTACTCCCGGAAACACTATTAGTTGCCACAATTTGCCAGAAACTTATAGATGCGAAAAGTAAAGCAGTAAAATTAAATAATATATTCTCTACAGAATTTGGCCTAATTAACAAGGTCAAATTTGTTTTCTTCTCTACCTTCTCAAAAGAATATGTAAAAACTCACTGCACTTGTACTTACTACCCTCATGATATTTTGAATTCTTATAATAAGAGCTCTATCTCCACTAATCCATCAACTATTTAATTAAACTAGTCTAAAAAATATCAATATGTCCCATTTGTCAAAACACCTTTTTAAAAAACTTGAATCTTTCCCCTCTCCATTGAATTTAATGCACTCATCTCTAGAAGTAACACATAATCATCTTAAAAGAAATGCAACATTAAAATTCTGCCTCCTGAGATGAATCACTATTATTTATTGAGCATATTTTCAGATATTTTTAAGTATATTCATATGACTTTGAATTAAAACCAAGTCATAAAAACAATATTCTGTATGCTATTTTACATTCAATATTTGAAGCTCAAGAGATATGGGTCCAATTCTCTTGTTCACTCTTTCATTAGTTCTTATTTAAGGTTCATGTTTACCTAAAATAGACAGTGTAGTCTCATTCTATCCTTTCAGGCTACTTTCATGCCATTTATTTTGCCTGTGAAAACCCTGAATTCCAACAGTAGACACACATCTAAATACTGTAAGTGTTTAGAGAAACAACTGGAAAGAGAAGCATTTAAATACCACCATGAATCTAACCAACATAATGTAAGTGAAAAGATCTGCTACCTGATTGTCTCATCATGATAAGTATGATCCTAATATGAAAGAAGTATACAAGTCAGTCCATTGATTTGGTGCTTAGACAGAAACTTAAAAATAATATTTTTGATTTAGCTGGCTGATCTGAAGTTACTGAATTTTTTTTTTCTTGTTTTACGGCGTGACATTTAATGTCTACACAAACTGTACTTTGTGGGTGATGGAGGAGATTTTCAGGGCTAATACCGACTCTATTACTTTTTACTATAATACTGAGAACCTATGCCAGTGTAAGATTTATTTCTCCTGTAGTTATGGGACATGTCATCTCTTTTATATCACATTCACGCCAGTGCTCCATCAACGATAATGCAAGTAAATAATTAAAGGTGTGTTAAATTTCCATTAGGTGCTGGGATGCAGCTCAGAGGGCAGTAGTACTTGCATCACATACTAGAAGCCCTAGTAGGATCCCAAGCACCACAGGGCACTCCAAACACTGCTGAGGTAGCACTAGGAGCCCCACTGGGCCAGAGCAGCACTGAATCGTGGGACCTGAGCATTGTTACCAGCTCGTCTGGTTGTCCAAATCACTCTGGGAGTGGCTCTTGGGTCCCACGAGCATTGCTTTGGAGGCCTTCAATTCCCCAAAAAGATAACAACCAAACTTCTCTTGGAATCTATTGACCTTAAAACTGATTTTCAAAAAACAAAAACTGATTTTGGTGGGTCAGAGCAGGTAGGGCATTTGCCTTGCATGCAGCCAACACAGGTTTGATTCCAGTATACAGTATGGTACCCTGAGTACCGCCAGGAGTGATTCCTGAGTGCAGAGTCAGGAGTAAGTAACCCCTGAGTATCACCAGGTGTGACTCCAAAAAAGGAAGAAAAGAAAAAAAAGAAAACAAATTTTTGGTAAGCATCTGGCTTTTGAACTAAGGACAAAGTTTGACAGTTGTTTACGGTTATAACAGTTACTTAAGGTAATTAAAAAAAGATAATTATATAAATACTTAAAAGAAATTTCCGATTTATAATTCATAATAAAATCAGTGAAAAAAAAACCCTTAGCATGGCAATAAAGATATCTAGTTAAGCAAACATACTCATAATCTGGCATTTTGGGTATGAATATGTCCTGTGTATCATCTTCCAAGTGCTGGAGGTCGGCATAGACATCTGTAGTTCCACTTGCATTAAACTTCCCTTGCATATTTTGGCTGTATTGTTGAAGACGCTTCCATAAATCATTATAGAGACGCAATAACTTAGGATATTCTCCTTCAAATGCCTGTTTCAAAAATGTAGACGCTGAAACATAAAACAGTAGCATGTATTAGATGAACAATAAAATAAAATGTAGCAAAAAAGGATTTGCTAAATAATGGTAAGAGTGTTTTCACAAAGATTGCATAAAATCTGTATGGTGTTTTGGGTGGCACTGTCACATTGACAATATTTAAGCTCTTCTAACCCATGAACACTGGATATATTTCCATTTCTTTGTGTCATCATTTATTTCTTTTGATGATTTTCTTTTTCCTTTTTTTCTTTTTGGGTCACACCTGGCATTACACAGGGGTTACTCCTGGCTCATGCACTCAGGAATTACTCCTGGTGGTGCTCAGGGGACCATATGGGATGCTGGAAATCGAACCCGGGTCGGCCACATGCAAGGCAAACACCCTACCCACTGTGCTATCGCTACAGCCCTGATGGTTTTCTTTATGTAAGTCTTCCACCTCTTTTGCTAACCTGTTTTCTAGGTATTTGATATTTGTGAGGGACAGTTAAGAACGGGATTTTAAAAAAATTTATCTCTCCTCTACTTTGCTATTTGTAGATAATAAGTATTCAGTGGGTTTCTGGACATTAATGTTTCCTCAAACACTTCTCTCAAGTTTACAAAACCAATTACTGCTTTTCAAGTAAGCTTTAAGTTTTACTATATGCTAAAAGATACTTGTAAGTTTCTTTTATTCTTTCTCTCTCCTCTTTCCCCTTCTTGTGTTATCTCTTCCCTGTCTTCTCCTTCCCCCTGCCTTTCTCCCTTCAATCTTACCTTTATTTGTATAGCACAAAAGTACACTGTGGTTCTGTTGAAGTCACTTTTTTCATTTTTCCATATAAAAGAGGCATTTTAACACAGGGTGTTTGACTTAAATATGACGACTCCTCAATAATATTTCACTAATAACTTAAATGGGGTAGGGACCCAAAACCTGGGCAACATTGATCAAAACAGCATTCTTTAAGGACCTGGTTTCATAATATATCCTTTCACATAAAGCCACAATTTCCGATAACCTATGGAAGATATTTAAAAGTCATATGCTAATTTCTAAGAAATACATCTCAAAAAGTTCTCCTTTAACATGTATTCTAAAAAAAAAAATTATACTTTAAGAAAGTACTCACGATTGCATAGTTTGTTTATCCTGTTTCTAAGGAATACCTGATTTATGTGTATTTTTTAAAAGGTAGAAAATTTCCACATGTTTAAAGCCAAACTTTCTAAATCTAGAAAAATGTCTGTCTTCCTTTTATTCACTTGAATTTCCAGTATATTAGATATATACCATGTAGCTTAACTGTATGAATCCACTACCGGGTTGCTTGAGTTTTCAAAGACTAACAAAGGGTTTTGAATATTTTAAATGATGTTCTTGTTAAACTATTTCCAAGGATATTTTTAAGATCTTGGAGGCTTTATGTGTGTGTGTTTGTGTTTGTGTGTGTGTGTGTGTGTGTTTGTGTGTGTGTGTGTGCCTGTGTCTGTAGAGGGGTGGGATGTAGAGATAGGGGAAGTTCTAAGCTGTGCTCAGAAATTTTGGGGTCCCCCAGATGATTATCAGCCAAACGGGTAGTCAGCAGTCAGTTCAGTATAAAGAAATCCGGGGAGGGGGATTAAAAAAAAAAAACCCTCTGTAGTGGTTCTCCTTCAGATTTCTTAAGTCTGAGAAACAAGGCTTAAAAAAAAAAAAAGCAAAATTGAAAAGATAAATATGTATCTGACTAAAAAACAAAAAGATAAGCAAAGCAGACAGGTTCCTTGTTGGTAAGTGGGCAGCTTTAAAGAAGAAAGTTATCTGTACTCTCTGACATCCAACGAGGGAAAGGGAAATGATAATATATATTGTCCTGGTGACCCAGGAGATAAGTTAGGTTTTAGAGACTGCAAAGAAATTGAACTGATTGAGAAAAATAAGAAAGCAGATGATAAATGACAAATACAATACCGTAGCTTATTTAAGCACAGATACTAAACTAAATGTTTAGTTTAGTATCTTTAGTAAATCATGTTTTACTTTAGTACTTTAGTAAACCATGTTTACAGGGCTGGAGCGATAGCACAGCGGTAGGGCGTTTGCCTTGCACGCAGCCAACATGGCCGACCCGAGTTAGATTCCTCTGCCCCTCTCGGAGAGCCCGGCAAGCTACCAAGAGTATCTCGCCCACATGGCAGAGCCTGGCAAGCTCCCCGTGACATATTCGATATGCCAAACACAGTAACAACAAAATCTCCAATGGAGACGTTACTGGGCCCGCTCGAGCAAATCGATGATCAACGGGAGGGCCTGTACTTTACTTTACTTTAGTAAACATTTAGTTTAGTATCTGTGCTTAAATAAGATGTCCCAAGGCGTTCAGGAGGCCTAGGGGCCCCACTGGAGATTCTTTGCCAAGAGTCAGCACAGGTCACTGTAAGGGCCAAGGATGCTGCTCAGGCCCTGGGATACCAGGACACCCGGGCCTCAAGAGAGCAACTGGTGATGTTCAGATTATATAGTGCTGGGAATTAAATCTGAGTTAGGTACAAACTAGCTAGGAATATGCCCTAACTACTGTCCCATCTCCAGCCCCCTATACAATATTTTGAAATATACTTTAATCATCATTCTTAAAACTAGATAAGACTTCTACTGCTAGTCAAGGTGGAATAATATGGACCAGAATTACCCTCTTCTTTCAGAATGCCCCCTCAAAAAATACCACAAAACAAAACATGCAATATTATATAGGAGAAGGAGAAGGAGGGGGTCAATACTACAAAAGATAAAGCCCCTCCCCCAAGAGACAGAAAATAAATGACGTGAACCCTATACCTCACCACTTATTTCTGAGCATGAATGTCCAACTTGTAGCACCAGCAAAGGGGAAGAGTCTCCTACCAGTACTGTCCCTAATATACAGAAAACAGATGCAAGCAGAGATCACAGAACAAAGTGCCAGTACCAGACAGGAGAAAGTCGGAACATGAGAGAGCGGCAGAGATCTGCAAAAGGTCCCCCTGAATATTCACTAAATATGAATCAGCACAAGTGTGGGAGGAAACAGCCACAGTCTTGAAACAAAAGGATCAGAGAACACACATATGACATGTGATACATACGCCGATCACACACATATGGAAAGAGGGTCTGCTCTTCTGCCTCTACCAAGGCTGGCAAATCTCAGAATATGTAGAGTAGTTGGGAGACTACTAAGAAGAGTTTTGCTCTAGCAGTGGGGAAAATTTCTCCCTACACTAAACACTGTTCAAATTTTGCTATTATATCTTAGGGGCAAAGCTCAAAACCAACAAAGTATTTCTAAGTAATCTGATAGTATCCAAGAATAATAACGGAAGACAAAGGTATCCGGATCTAAACATGATAAAATGTGTGTGCTATGTAATTAAAAATTAATAGATACGCAGAAAGGTAAAAAATGTGACCATGATGATAATAAAATTCCAACAGACTCAGAATTTCAGAAATGATCAAACCAGTAGACAAGTTCTACTCCCAAGAGTTAGATATATTCTCTTAATTTCTGTATGACTGGTTGGAATAAAGTTTACCTTATACTCCTCTACTAATAGTAGAGCTAGATCAACTAACAGTAAACCATACTGAAAGGCATAATGTTTAAAGGCTTATAATTTTTCAAAATTCTAAAGAACTTAAAAAATATTCTTGTTATTCAGATATTCTCATTATGAAAAACATAGCTACAACTCCAAGTTTTTTAGTTTTAAATAAAACTATACGTTTAAAACTTTTGAAAGCAGAGTGATACAGCAAGAGTCATAAATAAGCTTTCAATGTTCTCTTATTATAAATGTTAATATGAATTTTAAAATTATGATTATATTTCATTAATTTTCATCCTTGTATTTTCTTTTGGTATGTTGATACATGTACTTCATTCAACATATTTAACTTACAAGATAAGAACTTAAATATTTAAAAAAATTCATCGTGATAATTATTTTCTCAAAGGCTCATTACTTTCACACATGGAACAAAAAAACAACAGAAAGGCTATTTACACAGTACTACATCTGAATAGTTACTGAAATAATTCACAATTTTAAATGGAAAACATGTCAGACTCCAAAATGTTCAGTTGGTTGAAAAACTGTTAAAAGTTACTGAAACAAAATTATAGATGCTTTGAGTTTTTTAAATTGGTCAATGTTAGAATAATGTTATTGGGACAGTTAAAATATTGCTATAAAGAAACTTGTAGCATTAATGCTCAAATTAGAAAGGACATGTTTAAATCAGAATACATCTAATCTTATTAAACAAGAAAACAAGGAAATGAAACCCAAAGCTAAGAGAAGAAATAATAAACATATGTACAGAAATCAACATAATTAAAAATAAAAGAGATTTGGAATATGGCTCAGTTGAGTAGCACATAGCTATTATGTATAAGACTCTGGATTTGATTTCCAGCATAATTAAGCAATGAAAAATAGAAAATAAAGAAAAAAATCAAGGAAATCAAGTGTTGGTTTCTGAAAAGATGAAAAAATTTCATCAATCCCTAGTCACAATTAAGAAAGACAAAACAAACACTATTAGAAACAATATGGAACATTCCATCATATTTTACATACTTTCAAAAGATAAGAACACAGTAAAAACTACTGAAAGCCAACGAATTGGAAAATTTTAATGAAACAGAAATAACTCTGAAAGGCATAAATAGTGAAGCTCAATCAAGGGGAAAATATATGAAATCATTCTACACATACAAAATAAATTGAATCTGTAGCTCAAAATTCCCTTCCAGCACAAAAAATTATCTAGGCCCAGGTAACTTCCATGATGAACTCTACCAAATAAAGAAATAACTTTATTAATAAAAAACAGAAATAACTTCTCTAATGAATTCAACCAAATATAGAAATAGGGATCAAAGAATGAGTACAATGGGTAGGGAGCTTGGCTTACAAGTGGCAGACCCAGGTTCAATCCCTGGCACCACATATGGGCCGCTAAGCCTAACAGGAGTAATCCCTGAGTCAGAAGTAAGCCCTGTACAACACTGAGTATGCACACTGTGGCAAAAAAAAAAAAAAGAAAGAAAGAAAGAAAGAAAGAAAAGAAGAAAGAAAATCAATTCTTCCACCTATTTTAAGTTGGTATTATCCAAAACTTAAAAAAGACATCACAAGAAAATTAGAGATTAATATAACATAAGCATAGATTTAAAAAAAGAAAAACTTTTAAGGTTTTACATATGTGTGTGCATACTGTTTTTTTTTAAGTAAGAGAGAAGACATTTATTATTTTGCTATAGGAAAATATATTTTTTGCCTTTTTTAAAAATTTTTATTAGTGAGACCGTGAGGTACAGTTGTAGACTTACACATTTTTGTGCTTGGGTTTTAATTGTACAATGATCAAATACCCATCCCTCCACCAGTGCCCATTTCCCACCACCACGGATCCCAGTATCCCTCCCACCCTCCATTCATACTGTTTTTAGTAATTTAAATTAAACAAAATTTTAAAAGGATAATATGTTATCACATGGGGTTTACCCAAGATTGCTAGGTTGGTTCGACATTTGAAAATCAATCCATATTAATTCATCACAGTAACAGATTAAATGACTAGATCATTTGATCATCTAAATGGATACAGAGAAAGCATTGAACAAAAATTAAAAAATGTCAAAAGTCTTCCAACATATAAACTCTCAACAAACTAGAAAACACCTTCCTCAATCTAATTAAGAACATAATTATTTAAACAAAAATATTGCAGTGGTTTACAGCACCTGCCTTTCAAGCAAAGAGTCATGAGTTCAAGTTCCCAGTGCTCTACATGTGCTGAGTACAACACCAGTGGCTGTGATGTACATGTGTGAATTAAGCCACATCCAAGAGTGAAAGACTGGTAGCATGCCCTGTGTTGCTATTTGAAGTCTTACCAATCCCACAGTCCCCAAAGTCTGTGACCGCTGGCACAGCATGTGATTTCTGACTGCACCACTGTCAGGTGTGTGTAAACAGTACAAAAAAGGGGTGAAAGCACCAACTAGCACCACCACTACAGAGAAGTATAACCCTCTGTGACCACAGGTGTGGGTATTACCAACGCAGTCTATGGAAAACACCACAGTTGTAACTTAAGTGCCTCGACTATGAGTACAGTCACAACTAAAAGTGTGGAAACCTCCACAAGCATGAAGGTAAGTACTACAACCCGACATGCAGACCCTGGCAAGCACCACTGCCAGGCATGTATATGATACCCACTCACTATAGCAATATCAATAAACAATAGGAAGGGGAGATAGGGAGGGAAATTTTTTAAAAATTTCTAAAATTAGAATGACCATCGTGGTTGACAGAATGAATATGTTGTCTTTAAGATTATAAACAAGGCAAGAAATGTCTTCATTCTACACCATACTGCAGATGTTAGCCAATATTAGGCAAGAAAATGAAAACAAGCCATACTGCAGAAGAAAATTGGATTTAGTTGCAGACCTTAGGCTCATGGACAGTGAAAGTGTTGCAAAATTCTAACTACACGAACTAATAAGTTAACAGTATCAAGGACACAAAGTAAATATACAAAAATCATTCTATTCCTAAAGTCTAAAAATGAACTGTAAAGTAAAATTTCCAAGGAACACTATGGGTGGGGGTGTGTGTAAAGATGGTGCAGGTGGTAAGGCCCAGTCTGTATGTGTGACTCACCCTAAACTAATCCATGGCACATATGCTCCCCCGCCCCGAGCATTGCCAGGTGCAGCCCCGGAATTCCCCAGTATTTCTGAGATGACCCAGGTTACTTCTGGCACCACAGGATCCAAGGAGTACCACGTATTCCAGTCGTTACATGGATCGGCCAGCTCAGTTGACCAAGAATTGGCAGGAGGGGCCCCTGGATCTGCTGAACAAGGCTTGGGAGACCACCCCCCAACCTCACAAAACAAATCCCACACGTTTGGAAACCAATATGGCAAAACCTCCCAATATCAAAAAAATTGCAAAATTAATAGCATACTTACAACTTGTTGCCGTATGAAATTGAGAAGAAAGTGCTTGAGTGACTGCATTCCAGAATGTGTATAAAATTTCAGATTGCTCATCCTGTGAAACAAGAGGAGAATGCATTCTTTATTAAAAAATTGTTAATGGGTAAGACGTAACACCAAAAATTATTAAAAAGCTAACTATAAATTTCTATGAAATATCAACAGAACTATTAAATTAAAAGATGTGAAAAACTCAAAGCATGTCTCATGTTCATGTAAATATTTATTATCCTCCTCTGTTATTAGACCTGTGAGTTTGAGCAACACTATTAATCATTCTGTGCCTCTTCTCTTCTGTAAAACAAATAACTGCTGACCTACATGGCAGGGTTACTATGAGGATTAAAAAAGTTCATGAAAGTAAAAGTCTCAGAACAGCTGATGACATACAATAAACCCTCAGTAAATTCTCAGTAACAATCTACTTATTACTATCATTATGCTTTAGTACACAGAAGGCAATCTGTATGTCCATAACAGAAGCATGGACAAAGCATACTTAACCCAAGAACTATCACCAGAAAATAATTCATCATTATGGAACTAGATTCCCTTGTTGTCGTATTTCCTTAAATGTTAGGGAGTTTAAAAAAAATGTTAGGGAGTACTACTATTGCCTCAGCAGCTGAACTGCCCCTGGTGCCGTGTAATCGCATCAATGGCCCAGACCCAGAGACTATAAAACCCTCCTGCCTCCGAGCCTGGCTGTCCTCACAGGGGCCCTTTGGAGGATGGTGGGTTGAGTTTCCCTCCCCACCCCGAGCAGAGCCCTGGCAGCTGAAGACCTCTGGTTCCAGCCACAGTCATGCTTAAGACTACTCTCCACATGCTCGGACGAGCCTCACGCATGAAGGAACCAGCAGAGGAACCCAGGTGTGCGGGACCCGGGGCATAGATCCCCAAGCCTGCTCAGATTGGGACTGGGGCCTCCTCCACCCAGATCCCCCATCTTCCAGTATGTAGGCGTTACACCCACCAACTGCCCCTGGCGCTGTGTAATCCCATCAACAGCCAAGACCCAGAGACTATAAAACCCAGCTCCCGGAAGCAACATCTTTTTATATAGTTCTTACTCTGGAGAACCTGCAGGCTACTCAAAGTATCCTGCCCACAAGGCAGAGTCTGGCAAACTCCCCCTGGTGTATTCAATATGCCAAAAACCAGTAAAATGATGGGTCTCATTCTCCTGACCCTGAAAGAGCCTCAAAAGTGGCACTTTCAAAATCTCAGGGCTAGGACAAAGGAGATGTTACTGGTGCCTGCTTGAGGCAATCGATGAACAACAGGAGGACAGTGATACTACTACCCATATTTTTCACTCAACCTTAAATACATGTTTTAGAAATTATACTGTAGCTCTGTCACTGTCCTCCTGTTGTTCATTGATTTGCTCGAGTGGACACCAGTAAAGTCTCCATTGTGAGACTTGTTGTTACTGTTTTTTGGCATATCGAATACATCACAGGTAGTTTGCCAGGCTTTGCTGTGCGGGCAGAATACTCTCAGTAGCTTGATGGGCTCTCCAAGAGGGGCAGAGGAATCAAACCTGGGTCAGCTGTGTGCAAGGCAAACGCCCTACTGGTTGTGCTATTGCTCCAGCCCAAATTATACTAAAAAGGAAGAAATAATGACTTTGAAAATACTTTTAAAATGCGAGTTTTATATACTTTATCCAACTAACATAAATCATATATGTAAAGATGTTTTATAACTACTATAATAAAAATCAGGAAAATCACATATTTGGTTTTGATTTGGACTTATAACAATGAAATTCTATTCTTTAAAAAAAAAACTTGACCAAATACAACAATTTACTGACCTTATATCAACATACTCTTCTATTTTCAGTGATCTTGTTCCTTTTAAAAATATCCTTTAATATGAATTTATTCAAGTGGGTATTATATGACACACAAAATTAATCAAATTAATTTCTTATGTAACAAGACAAATTGATTTCTAAGAAAGCATGCAATATGTAAAATATATATAATAAACTTTAGTTTTAAGTAGAGGTTTTTCCTAGGGCTGGAAGGATAGTACAGTGAATATCATGTGCTTATCTACCAGGAATACTACTTAAGCACAAAGTCAGAGTTAGCCCTGAGCACTACTAGGTGTGACCACAAAACCAATGCAAAACAAAACAAAACAAACAGATGCCGCAGAGAAGCCTCCAGATCCTGTGCCAGGCTGTCTCATCCAGGGCAAGCCGGAGGAGAGCAGGTGGTTCCCCACACCTGTCCCAACAAAGCCTCAGCAGCCGAAAACCTCTAGAACTCAATTGCTGCCAAGCTCACAGCCAATCTCCACAGGCTCGAATGAGACTCAACCATGAGTGAATCTGCTAAAACCTCAGGTATGCAACACTTGTGACAGAAATCTTCAGGTCGCACAAAGTCAAAAAAGGGTGACTTCTCGGCATCTACCTGTGCTTCTGCCCGCCTGGCAGTCAAACCCCCGAATTGCCTCAGGTGCCATATAAGCTCATTAATGGCATGATCCAGAGATTCACAAACCTCGGGAGAGAGCAACACTCTGCAGAGATGCCTCCCAACCCGAAAGTCACCATCCGGCTAAAAATTTAATTCTAGCTGTATCACCCTATTTAAAATCTTAGAATATCCGGAGGCCACATTTGTGGCATGACATCTCATACTCTACATACCTGATGTACCAAGAGTAGCACACCACATTTGATGGAGTTTAAAGTAGAAGGCAACTAATCTCAATTAAAAATATATATTAAATAACATATATTTTGCTAATGTATATAATAATTCGGAGAGCCCGGCAAGCTACCGAGAGTATTCGATATGCCAGACACAGTAACAACAAAGTCTCCAATGGAGACGTTACTGGGCCCGCTCGAGCAAATTGATGATCAATGGGAGGGGTATATAATAATATATATATTAGCACACAAGGCTCAACCTACCAACATATTAATCTATTATACAAGGGCTTAATGGCTCCAGAATGAGACATGAAAATCTTCATACACTTTCCTCTAAGGAAACTTTTTTTGGATCATTTTTAGCTGGAGCGATAGCACAGCGGGTAGGGCGTTCGCCTTACACGCGGCCAACATGGCCGACCCAAGTTCGATTCCTCCGCCCCTCTCGGAGAGCCCGGCAAGCTACCGAGAGTATTCGATATGCCAGACACAGTAACAACAAAGTCTCCAATGGAGACGTTACTGGGCCCGCTCGAGCAAATCAACGATCAACGGGAGGGCCTTTACCTTTACTCAGAACAAGCAATACAAAATAAATTATTTAGGTTTTGCTTTGGGGCAGACTTTGGGTGTCAGGATGGAAAAATTAGAAATATGGTGGTGGGAAGGTGTGATGGTGGTAGTGGACTGGTGTTGGAATACTGAATGTAACAAATTATTGTGCACAACTTTATAAAAATTAAATTAAATTAAAAATAAAAACAAAAAGAAAGGTTTTCCTAAGAGAGTTGCACAAGCCAAGATAGTTTGAGGCATCACAAAGAACCCACAAAAACTGAATGAAACACAGCACACTGAGAAAAATCCCTGGGGAAAACAGCCATCACGTGGTGGGTAGTCTTAACTGAAGAAGGAAGACGTGTGGATATGGCCAGAGCTAAGGGGTGCTTCCTCTGGTTGGGGCAGGAGAGAGCACAGAAGAAAAAGAGACCAGGAACTCTGGCCAGCAGGTATGAAACTGAAAGTGCCAACCTCAGTGGGCTAAATGCAGAGTACATATAGATTATTAGCTTTAGGCCTGTATTCTCTAAATCAAAAGCAGATACCAAAACCATAAATATTAATCCCATTGTAAGTACATCATCTTAACAAGCTTCTTTCATAAAATGCAAAACAGCTCAACTGGAACTGGAAACTCTCCTGATACTATATACAAAAATTAACTGAAAATGAATTTAAGCCCCAAATATAAGATAAAAAAAATGCACAGGCAGAATTCTCCATGACACTGAAGCCAGAGGCACCTTTAAGGATAAAATGCCACTGACAAGACAAGTTAAAGCAAAGAAAAATGGGGCTGCATTAAATTAGGAAGCTTCTGCACCTCAAAGGAAAAAATGACCAGAATACAAAGATAGCCCACAGACTGAGAGAAGTTATTCGCCCACAATTCACTCAATAAAGGGTTAATATTCAATATTAAAAAAAAAAAAACCACTGGTAGAACTTTACTAAAAAAAGGGGGGGGGGGCTAGAGCAATAGCACAGTAGGTTGGGCTGAACTTGGTTCAATCCCGGCATCCCATAAGGTCCCCTTAGTAATGCCACAAGTAATTTTTTGATTGCTGACCCAAGAGTAACTTCTGAGTAGCAGGGTGTAACCCCCAAAAGCATTTTTTTAAAAAAGAACTTGACAAAAAAAATAAAATAAAATAAAAACAACAATAACAAAAATCCCCATCCAGTCCCATCAAAAAATGGGGAGAATGGGTGAAAAGAAATTTTCTAAAAGAAGAAATTCAAATGCCAAAAAAGGCAAGTGACAAAAATCATATGGGAATCAAAGCAACAAGACATCAATCACCTTACGCTATAGAGACTAGCACATATCAAAAAGAACAACCAGTGTTGGTGTGGATGTGGATGTGTTTGGGGAGGGGGCCGGGGGATGTACTCATTCACTGGTAGTAGGAATGGTAATTGGCCAAGCCTTTTTGGAAAAACAATGACATTCCTCAAAAAAAGGGGTGGGGGAATTGAGTTTCCATATAACCCAGCAATTTCACTTCTGGGAATATACCCTGAAGGCACAAAAGCACACCACAGAAAAGAAATCTGTACTTTTATGTTCATTGTACCACTATTCATAACAGCCAGAATCTGGAAATAACCCAAGTGCCCAAGAACAGATGAGTCGATAAAGAAGTTATGATACATAGACATAATGGAATATTACTTGGCCGTAAGAAAAGATGAAATCATGCAGTTTGCTGATACGTGGATGGATCTCTGGAGACTATCATCCTGAGTGAAATGAGTCAGAGGAAGAGTGTTATAAGAAGAGTACATATACATGATATGTATTAAAATGATCT